CACGTTGGGACAACACATGTGAGAGGAGGCCGAGGGTCTGCTATCTATCACCTCTGCCTGCAGCTACTCCTGCCTTTGCTGTTTTCAGATTCAGAAACGAGATCTGGAGAGCGGAGACGACTAGCTGCAGCTGCTCGACTAGCCGGCTGCCGTCTTCTTCCTCCCCCTCCCCGACCTACACTCTGCAAATCTGATCTCGCCCTCTCCCTCTCCTGCGCACCCCCTGATAGTTGCTGCGATTAGTCAGCGACTCAAAAATCTTTGGTGCCAAGGCTTTTCCAGGTAATCACTAATAGTACTTTTTCTTTTCCTTGAGAAGATATTTTCCAGATGGTTAAACTGGTCGCTGCTACAGCTGCTCTTCTTGCATCATGGGTAGCTTTGAGATTAGAATCGGCTTCTTAGTAGTGTTTGGGTTCCTTTTGGACATTCGTCCAAATGCACGTCTGCTGGCTGGATCGTCGCAGCTCTATGTTTACTGCTTATTTTGCTTCAAACTTATTGTAGTTACATATGCCGTCAAGTGCGTGTTGAGTTTTGTGGAGGAGACATGCTTATGCTTGCTCTGTTTCATGACGTTTTCCTGTTAATCAAGATTCGTTATTATTTTACAATGATTATCCAGTGGAGAGGGAACAAGAAAATCTAGTTGTTGATTTTTTTTCTCACGGATTCAAGTTTTTCTACTCAACAAAACAGAGTTTAATTTGTTCTCTATTCTGTAGCTATGTCTTTCATGATTACTCATGTAACTGGGAAGCTGGGTCCAGACGTCCAGTTGCCTTCTAGTCCTAAATAACATGCTTACTCTTGTTTCAAGGGCACTCTACTCGCCGAGTGTAACTGTTAATGGGTCGTCAAGCTATTGCTGCACGGAATGACCTCGAGCACATGCTATCTGACGAAAACGAACAGCCAAAGGCCTTGCCATTATCACTTTTGGAAGACATCACAGATGGTTTCTCTGAGAACCGTCAAATTGGCAGCGGTGGGTTTGCGGTAGTTTATAAGGTAAGGCAACTCTCAACTACCCTCGGTCGATACAAAAAATGAAGTTGATGCTGACAAGGATTCTTGTGACTTGTAGGGAGAGCTTGAGAATGGGACCGTTGCTGTGAAGAAGCTGTTTGAAAGGCTTGATATTCCTGACGATAAATTTAATGAAGAGATTCGTTGTTTGATGAGGGTGAAGCACAAAAATGTAGTACGTTTTTTGGGCTATTGTGCTAACACACAAGGCGAAATAGTAGACGTGATGGAGGTGTTATCATGGCACATGGACGTCAAAGGTTGCTCTGCTTTGAGTATGTACCTAAAGGAAGTCTTGATGAGTATATCAAAGGTAGTATCATGGCATGCACTCCTGTTTAAATTTAATGAATATATTACAGATATTTAGTTCAATCAGCCCACTTATGGTGTCGTATTCTATCTAACATTACAAATTTGAGCATTTCAATCTTCATAAATGTCAAATACAAACACCTTACTTTCTTCGATTATCTCTCCTTTATAGATGCATCTAATGGACATGACTGGATTAAGACCTATGCGATAATAAATGGCATTTGTGAAGGTTTACATTACCTTCACCAGAATCATATTGTTCACTTAGATCTCAAGCCCGCAAATATTCTGCTGGATGGCAATATGATGCCAAAAATTACCGACTTTGGGCTATCAAGGTGCTTTGATGAGAAGCAAACCCAAGCTATTACCAAAAATATGGCTGGCACATTGTAAGTTGGCAAAGCCTATTGAATTATCTTTTTTGGTTTTATTTAGAAATTGTATCGTTTTCTTTTTCTTTTCATTCATTCATACGACTAAATTTTCATGCAGAGGGTATATCGCACCAGAGTTTTATAATGGATACATACACACGATCACATACAAGTCGGACATATATAGTCTTGGTGTCATAATTATAGAGATGCTGACTGGAAAGAAGTGGTATCCAGCATATCCTGATGTTCATAATGTAAGAACGGTACTAGTGGCTCTTCCATGACAAAAGCAGACCTCCCTCAAAAAAGGATAGACACTAGATTTTGGAATAACCATATTTCGCTTTTACTTTGCATTTATTTTGAAGGAGTTACATAATATCATTCTTCAAAGCTGATGTAGTAAAGTATCTCCAGGAAGATAACCTTTATTTCTATTATTTTTAACGAAACATGAAAAGGCTAGATCTTACAAGGCTCAAAGAAGCCATATCTAAAATTCATTATCGACACTTTTTTTTTACATATGAAGAGAGTAAGAGAAGATATACAGGACAAAGAGTCGTGCTATATCTCACAATTGACATTGGATCCACAAGGAGTAAGATGTGATAAAAATTATGTTAGAGAACACATTAATCTTCCAAATATGGATTAATGAATGACAGAAACAATGGAGGTAATAGGATGATTGGTGGACCTAGTTAGATAGAACAGTTGTATGCCGATTTACATATGTATTCTCAAGATGCACAATATTGTAGTTGTACTTTATTTTTACTGCTACATGTGTGGATGATCTAGGCGCGGTTATAGGTACAATCCCTTTATTTTGGGGGGAAGTTTTTTGCTACTCACTTGAAAACATGTGGTCTGTTAATCGGTGTATTTTGTTGGGTTGTGAGTGGAATAACTTACTCTGCAGCAAGGTAGATGTTTTTTTACTAGCAATTCGTGGTTTCTTCTATGTGGTTATAAGATGTATTTCAGAATTTTGTATGTAAGAACTTACAGTTTAAAATTGTCAAACTTATGTCCAAACTAACCATGTCCAACTAGTAACCCGCCAAGCAAATTTCACTATTGCAATATGGTATGATTTTTCTGCCATGAGAACATTTATACGTTGTAATTAAATGTAAAGGAGGTGTAAGGATTCAATCTATGCACTTCATGCAATTTGCTTTGTTCCCAACCAAGCTATTGAGGTGATTGTGAACAACTAAAAGGACACTTTCATCGTAACATGGGCCAGCTAGATGTGACAATAAGACATGGTCATAATCACAAAAAATATGGTTAATAATATTAGAAGGGATTGTAAGGTCATGATCAAATTATAGTAATTCATGGGCAGATTTTTGTTGGACCTATGGGGTGGAAAGTGGTGGTTTAGTAGAACGTGGTGCGTTTGTTGCGTTGCAACATGGTGGGTTGGCTCAGGTTTAGAGTAAGATTACTTCACTCCTAGTTGTAGAATAGCATCACATATACATACTTAGGCATAATGACCCACTTTAAAGCCAAAGCAATATAGTAGTAACATGTATAACAATTCATCCATATCTTACCATTATAGTCTATTAGAAAATGCTAGAACTATAACAATTTATTTTAGTCACAAATTGGTAATACATACTCCCTCCGTCCCAAAATTCTTGTCTTAGATTTATCTAGATACGGATGTATCTAACACTAAAATGTGAATAGACACATCCGTATATAGACAAATCTAAGACAAGAATTTTGGGACGGAGGGAGTACTTATTATCATTTCAAGTAGAAAAGGTTACTATTGACAAATCGGTTGTTAAATGTTATTATATTTAATATGGAGCGAATGAGACGTGTTACTATATGTCTGCAACTACATAATGGGTCCCTCTAGCCAGGTATAGATTGGCCATTCTTTCTCTAAATATCTAATACACTTCAGTTTCCTATCTAAATAGGTACTTGAAAGTTGGATGAATAAGTTGGGGAAATCACAGCAGGACACACAACTGAAACAGATACGGTTATGCACCGAGCTAGGGATAGAGTGCACTGATGGTAAACAAGCGAACAGGCCAGATACAACGCATATTATCACTAGACTTGGTGAAACAGAAAATGCATACATCATAACTGGTGTTAGTAGTTCAACGGTACCACAGGTAACTTCATTCGTGGAATGTATAACTGATCCATAATGCAAATTTCGAGTATTAATTTACATGCATAAACTTACACCTTGAAGGTAGAAAGGACTTTAGAAAAGCCGGAGGATGGCACCAACAACTTGCTTCCGAGGAGGAATATTGTTCATCTCATGAATGATAATGCCGAGAAAAATGTTACTCCTTGGCAGGGGGCAGCTAAGAATCTTCATGCAACCCAAGAATCTCTCAATGATAATCATCATATTGTTGCAGTCGAGTCTGGTTCATCTACTGAGAATCTTCATGCAACCCAAGAATGTCTCAATGATTATCATCACATTGTTGCAGTCAAGTCTGGTCCATCTATGTCTGCTGAGGACTGTAACCTTAGAGAGGCCCAAAAATGTCTCAATCATAATCTTCACATTTTTGCAGACGAGTTTGGTCCATCTATGTCTGTTGAGGCTCGTAACCTTCAAGAGGCTCTCCAACTCATTAAAGATGATCCAGTGGGAGTGATTGGAATATGGGGTCCAGGTGGAGTGGGGAAAACACACCTTTTGGACAATATAAAAAAGTCACTTGATGGAAACATGACCTTTAACTATGTTTTAGAAGTGACGATTTCAAGGGGGCGTTCGGTGGAAAAGATCCAAACTGATATTGCACAACAACTCAATCTGGATGAATTCAAGAAAGATTCTGATGTGCAATTTAGATGTCGTGTCATTTATAATTTTTTGAAGAAGAGAAGCTTTCTTATATTGTTAGATGACCTTTGGGACCAAATTGATCTGCAAGCAGTTGGCATACCATATCCTCTTGGAAGTGTAAACCAAATCAGGAGAAAAGTGGTACTCACAACTAGATCAAGAAAAGTTTGTGGTCAAATGGAGGTGAGAAAAGAATTAAAAATAGCTTGTCTGCAGGAGGATGAGGCATGGCAACTATTCAAAAAGAATGTCCGTCATGAAACTTTTTCTTCTAATCCCTGCATTGAAACTCTTGGAAAAGAACTTCTGAAGGAAATGAAGGGATTGCCATTAGCTTTGGTAACTATAGGACAGACAATGTATGCAAAAACTGATACGGCTGAGTGGGAATATGCCATCCAATATATGAAACAGTCATGTTGTGTTAATGATGACCCGCTAGATATGGAAAAAGTTGTTTTCAGGCAGGTAAAGTTTAGTTTTGATAGTTTACGAAACAACATTTTGAGGAAATGTTTCTTGACTTGTGCACTGTGGCCAGAGGATCAGAAAATTCCTAGAGAAATGCTCGCTCGATGTTGGATTGGCTTAGGTCTCGTGTCTGAACCAAACATACAAAGTTCCTACAGAACAGCATATTATCTGATGGGCGAACTTTCAGCTGCATGCTTGTTAGAGCAGGACCATGGAATTATAATGTTCAATGAATATCTTGGAATGCATGATTATGTTAAAATGCATGATGTGGTTCGTGACATGGCTTTATGGATCGCTTGTGGCTGCGGTAAGAATAATAGCAAGTGGTTTGTCCGCGCAGGAGTTGGTTGGGACGAAAAAATTAACATCCCTTGGAGTCAAGTTGAATGTGTCTCATTGATGATGAACTGGTTGTTGGATTTTCCTCCTGTTGACTCTAATCCTTGCCACATGAGGATGTTATGCCTTGGAAATGACGACTTGAGTAGATTACCATATTACGAAATCAGAAAATTCACTTCACTGACATACCTGGATTTGAGCTTCAACAAGCTGGGTTTCATACCTAAAGAATTATGTTCCTTGGCAAACCTGGAACACCTTGATTTATCGGGAAATAGTGATATAAAAGTAGTGCCTCACTGTTTTGGAAACCTCATTAAGCTCAAGTTCTTGTACCTAGAAGAGACTAGGATACAGATGTTACCAGAGGGGGTCATATCTAAACTTCAAGCATTGCAAGTAATAGATATCAGAACCCATTGTTTGCCACGTCCAGTTTCTGAGAACATAAGAATGCTTCGAGAGTTGGGCGCCCTAACCAACTTGAAAGCAGTTGGTATCTATGTGGAGTATCTATGTGCACTACTAAAAAAAGGTGCTGACCTCCCCATTAGGTATTTAATTTTGGAGGATCATGAGACACGTGTACTCAATTTCTCGGATATTCTGTCGCATGACTTTGCACGAAGGACCTTGTATGAACTAACAATTCACATGCTAAACTTGGATCAAATAATAACAAGAAAAGAGTCGGCACTACCAAGCTGTTGTTTTGGTGCTCTCAATCAGCTCCAATTATCAGAGTTTGATAACTTAAGAGAGATAACTTGGATGGAAACATGTCCAGCATCTCTATTCCCAAAGCTCACGTGTTTGTTTGTGGACTACTGGCAAGAGCTAAAACACCTCTCTTGGGCGATGTATCTGCCTTGCCTCGAACAACTCCACATATTTAACTGTAATGTGATGCAGCAACCATTTGTGATGCACCATGATGATAACAAGTTCGGCGAACAAGACAGTTCAAATACATTTCCCCGCCTCAAATATCTGACATTTTCATGTTGCTCATCGCTGGTCAGTATTGGTGATCCCGATGTGACATTCCCATCCCTAGAGCGACTGGAGTTTGAACATTGTGCAGAATTGAAGAGTCTTCCTTTCAACATGGACAACTTGCCACGAAAACTGCAGTTTGTGCAGATTGATGTTAAATCCTGGGAGAGAATGAAAGGGGAATTGGAAGAAGGTGTCAAATCTTTCCTGGAACCCAAGCTTAAATTGTTTGGAGTACTATGAGCAATCCGTCCGTTCCTCTCCATGCTTCTTTCTGGGCCCAGCAAGGATAGGCAACTGTATCAGTAATTCAGTATCTCGTGTGGGAGTTGTATCGTGCATGTTTATGCAGTGTCATGGAAATTGCTTCCTTTTGGCTCCCGAGTTGTATCCATGCTACCTGTTGGCGATGCTGTAATAATTCTTAGCGACTTGTGTCGACTGTCGAGGTGTTTCCATTTGTGTGCAGGCTGATAAAACAAGCTATATATGAACTAAACGTGTGCAATTTTTATTCTTATTTCATGATTATTGAAGTTTAAAAGTGCTACATTTTGAACGGGAGCGCATCCTTTTTGATTCAGTGCTGCCCTCATCTTTGAATCTCTACAGTCTCCTCTCCTGTTTTGAAGCTGAATGCATCCCTTTTCCAATCGATCTGTGCCAACCATGGTACTATCTTGGTCAAATGTGTGGAGCTTGGTTGCAGCTGGAGCATGTTTGAGAATTTCTTTGTTGCAGCTGGAGGAGGATCGGAGCTTGGTTGCGCACCAGTTTACTGGGCAGTGGGCACGGACATGCTCTCTTGGAACTGAAGGAATGGTGTGTTGTGCTTTCTGGTATGGTACTAGCAGCAGTACTCAGTTTCAGAATTTGAGCTAGTATTGGCCTAGCGGTATTTCTTTTCTCACCATGCTTTGGGACATGGCATAACTGTACTTTGAGAAGGATGCCTTCTCCCGGTTACTATTTTGACAGAATTTTTTAGAAGACCACCATGGTTTAACTGTGAGCACCGTGCGGCCTTCAACTGCCTGAATTTTCAGGCCCAACAGTACAAAAAGAAAAAGGATTGTCCGCTTCAGTGTCAGTAGTCAAATCTCTGTACTTTTTTCGCTCCTCTCTTCTAGTGGGAAAAGCGGCAGCTCAGCATCCTTCTGCTCCGTTTCCGTGACCGTTTCTTTTTGTGGCCTCCATTATTGACCAATCTCTACCTTGAAAGTTGAAAGGGAGCGTGTGCATCCCCTCCAGCCACAAGAAAAGATGCCTCCCTTGCCTAGTGCAACTTCTTGAAAGCTCTCCGGCGGCTTCACTTCCTGGCGCCTTGCTCTTCTATCGCTGATTCTTCCACTACTGTCCGCGACTCCAGAACTCGTTTTAGTTTTACTTGCGCAATTCTGGAGAGGGGGCATAAGTCGTTTGTGATCAAGACAGGGGATCCACAGTGAGTACTTCTGATCTTACAATCTTTTTGTTGGCCGTGGTTAACGTTTTCTTCTGTTAGTTCTATATTACTGTAAATTGTTGGGAGTAATAGTCTGACTACACGTGGTTAATCGGCCCAGATCGCCGCAAAAAAACTCAAAACAGGGGATGTAATGTACAGGATAGGTTTAGAGCTCGCTGTAGGTGTAGCAGGAAAGGCCGAGGGCAGATTTGCAGAGGGAGTAGGTCAGGGAGAGGGTGCCGGTGTCCAGAAGCATGGGCGGCAGCTGAGTGCAGAGTGGAAGATAAGCCGTACGAAGAAGACGGCAGTCGGCTAGCCGGCGGCTAAGCCGGCGAATTGCGCAGTCGAGTCGTTGTTGCTAGCCGTGATTTTCATCGACTCAAAAATCTAGCCAAGGTTCTCAGGTTGATTACCACGCCTGCTTGTTCCTCATAGTTAAACAAATTTGGCTTACAGATGCTCTTCTTGCATGATCGGTAGCTGCGTGTTTGGACATTCATCCAAATGCATGCCTGATGCATCATCGCAGCTCTATGTTCATCGTTTGTTTGCTTGAAACTTATTCTAGTTACCTATGCCATCAAGCGCGCGTGTTGAGTTTTGAGGAGGAGATATTCATAACATTTTCCTGCTAGCTGAGATTCCTTGTTTTGCAATGTTTTCCCACTAAGCAGGGCCGGTCCTGAGATTTCTGTGGCCCCGGGCGAGATTAGAATCCGGCCCCCCATAATGTAAACATCAAAAGAAATTCAATATATGTACTTCCTCCGTTCCTAAATATAGGTCTTTCTAGAGATTTCACAAGTGACTAAATACGGAGTAAAATGAATGAATCTACACTCTAAAATATGTCTATATACATCCGTATGTGGTAGTCCATATGTGGCTGTGGTGGCTGTGGTGCGGGCGTCTCGGCGGCGCCCGATCCAGATCTGAAGGCCTCCGTTTACTTCAACCAGGGTTGCCTCCGATGGTTTGGCGGCTGGAGGTGGGAGGTGGCTCCGGAGAAATCCGAGGCCAGCAGTGCTGGCCACGACGGCGGCGACGCCCGAGGGCGCCGTACCCTTCTTGTAGGTGCCGTCCAGGTTGCCTCCTCCCCCTCTTCCTTCCACTCAGCTCGTATGCCGGGCGAAAGCCCAAATCCTTGCCGGATCGAGCGACAGCGGCGCTCCGGGCGTTGTCACCCTCTTGGGGGTGTCGTTCGTGGTGAGCTTGGGATGGATGTGATGCTTTGGTTGCTTTGCGGCGGTTGGTGGCGTGGTCGGAGTTCGTCTGGTGGCGGTGCGTTGGCGCCCTGCCGCCTATGTGCTCAGCCTAGGAGTCCTTCTTCCACGGTGCTTGGTCTTCAGCAGCCCTGCCGGACTCGGTGGAGCGGTGCTTCATCCTACTCCTTGATGGCGGCGTATCTCGGTGGCGTGGCGCAGTGGAGATACGGCGTCCGATGTGTGGCGATGGATTCGCGCAGGAGGACGAAGTTGTCTGGTGTCGTGGTGCGTCGATGGCTGAGTGGCCAGACAAGGTAGAAGCCTCAATATTTGCTCTGAAGACGGACCTGTGGAAGGTGGCGGCGACGACACACGAATGCGTCGAACCGGTTTGTACCCTAGACCCAGTATGTGGCTCGGCTGGGGCTTCCAGCTTTTGATGTTAGGGTTAGGTGAGTGGTCTGGGTAGTGACCCAGCTAGCACCCCTTCATCATTTTGATGTTAGGCTTAGACGAGTGGTCTGGGTAGTGGCCCAGCTAGAAAGCCTTCATCATTTGGATAGGAGTAGTGGCATATGTTGCCAAGATGGCGGATTCAGGCATATTGTTGTAATACTTTGTAAGGTCCTCGAGAATAATCAATAAAGTGGCCGTATGCATCTCCCAGATGCAGAGGCCGGGGGTCAATCCTCCTTTTCTTAAAAAAAAGTATGTGGTAGTCCATTTAAAATCTCTAAAAAGACTTATATTTAAGAACGAATGGAGTATATGTGAATCCTTAGCAGTAAACACTTGAAATCCATCCAAAATCAAATAATGAATATTTTTACCTTAAAATTTTCTTTTAAGATTCCTATATCCAAATACGTTGATGAAGAGGTATCAATATCAGTCCCATTCACATTTTATCTACACGCAAAAAGTTACTAAACGATTTAACCTCTCATGGGACACTTTACAAACCTCACATCACTTTTCCTCAATATATAGCTCTGTACAAGATGCACATGCTATTTCCAGTAGGGCAATAACCACATAAGGTAGAGCTCGAGCACAAATGGACCCGTTATCTGGGCGGTTCGTTATGGCATCGGGATACGACGGGATCCACTCCATTGGCCATGTCACGTGCGCCGTGAACCCTGGACGGTGGGCCATGTTAGTGACGGAGCTAGAACGCCGTGGACGGATCAAAGCAGAGCCGTGGCACATGACGTTATGTCCTTCCCGATCCATCGCCCAGGAAACTTCCTTTCTGGTTACCGGGACAGGCACTGAGTAAATGCAGGGATGGTGAGCTCGCTAGGGTTGTCTCCTACCTCCGCTGCCTGGATTAGTCACTTGCGGAAGCGGCGGAGCTCATCGGCGATTCTCGTGCGCGATCAGGGCCGATCGGAACGGCCAAAAATCGAGTTCCTTATGCAGGTGATTAAGAGGTGAGCAATCTGTCCAATTTTTCTGTATTTTCTGGTGCGTGATTTTGGGTGGTGCTCGCTAAGATGAAAGCCTCCATTTCCAATCTGGGTACCTAGGACCAGCGTGCTGGAAGAGGTGAACGGCAGCGATATTCTGATGCAGCCGCGATACTACCCAGTGTCGCGCCTATGGTTGAGCTGGGTGCGAATGGCCAGATCTGTACCCGCTGAAGGGGCGGCGGGTGGAGGCCGAGAAGGGTCAGAGCACTATTAGACAGATCAACCCCATAGCTCTTGGGTGGAAAAGAAGGTATGTCAGTTCTGCAGAACCACAATATTTGTGCGACCAAATTATGATTATTCAGCAGATAATGTGATTTAGGCGCCCTCTGCTTGTAGAGATGGGGGCAAAAGAACTTAGGTGGACTGTCAAGTGCACTCTGGTTTGAAACAATCTGCACATGCAAATTGTGTAAGGGAGTGGGTGCCTATGTTGGTACTGGCTGAACTGCTATGTGTGTGGCCCTGTAAATATGGATGCAGGGCAGACTCGTCTATTAGTACAAGCTTCAGAAATTCAGAACTAGAATAAGCTGGGTAGGGACATTGCATGATTTTGTGGTTTGAAGTAATTAACATGTTGCCGTTAGTGTGTGAAATCAGGAAATTGTTATTAACAAAGTTGTGCAAGGTGTGATTTGGCTATGTTGATTTTGCAGCTAAACCAAAAGTAGAATATCAGGGTACTTGCAAATGTTAGCTAGCACTGTCTGTAAAACTATCCATGATATTCATATCTCTTTGTGGGATTTTCTTGGTTGCAGAGTGAGGATAGCTACTGCTGTGTCGGGAAGGACGCCATGTCCTAACCAGACTACTGCTCTGGAGAAGGCTATCCCTGGTTTGCCAATAATCCTGGGGACAATGGCATAGTGCCAACTTTGGGTAGAAGCTTTGATTATGTTATTTGAAGCCTACGACTTCTACAACTTGTATTCGTGGGAGAAACGATTTGGCATTATATACGAAAAAGGGTATGCTAAATGTGGAGAGGACAAAATGCATGTGGGAGATTGTTTGTGGTTGTGTGCTATGGAATAATCAATTTATATCTTGTTAGCATTTGACAATATTTCCTGCAGCAATTATCTCCTAAAAAATGTTCTCTCTTTGTTGTTGTTTGTTTAGACAGGGGGAGGCGGGGGTTGAGAACACTCAGTCGTGCCGTTGAGAATGCCCTGCTCTCATCAGGTTGTTGAGATCCAAGGTCAATGGTTGGTACATAGCAGAACACCGTGAGGAGCACAACCACTCCTCGTCTCCTATGTTTGGACAAAGAATACACTGACCATCGCCACAAGCACATTGATTTATACATTTGAGACCTGGTAAAATAGCATCATGGTAAGTTTCTTTGGATCCATGGAGAATGTGCCATTCACAGAAAGAGCCATAAGGAACTTGTGTGGGAAAATTAGCCGTGATCAGGCCGAGGATGATTTGAGGAAGACTATGAAAGTGTTTGCGGAGCTTGGTTCAAAGGATCAGCACTTCACATATAGCGCGGAAGCTGACAAAGAGGGGAGGATCAGCAGTCTGATGTCGGCAAATGGAATAGCCAATTGCAGTACACATTCTTTGGTGATGTCATAACCTTCGATACGACCTACAGGACAAACATGTATAATATTCCCTTTGGCTTGTTTGTCGGCATGAACAACCATTTTCAGAGCATCGTAGCATCGGTTTTGGTTCGTGATGAGAAGGTTGAAAGCTTTTTGGGTTTCAAGTGAATTTCTGAGGAGCTTGCAGCACATTGTTGGGCGGGCTGGGCAGGCCAAACTGAGATTGCCTCGTCCCGTGGGTTGGCTGTAATAGGAGAAGGTGCTGCAAAGCTGGGCGGGCCATGACCGATGTAGCCTCTCTGAAGCTCCGCTGGTGTATCTATGCTTAAAGTGGTATATTAACTTGTGTGGTTCTGTTTTACAGGGGAGACCTGTAATGAGAACTAACTTGGCCATAGAGAGACATGCTGGGAAGATATATACAAGAGCAATGTTCGAGCAATTTGGACATATTCTACATGAGTGCGATGCTTACGAGGTTGAGGAGATCAAGAAAGGGAAGCTGTACGCTACCATGCACACTGAAGCAGAAAGGAGAGAGAAATGGTGTGGGGTCTCATATAAAGTGTGCTCAGTGGAGGAGAGGAGTGTGAGTGTAGTCAATTCGCTCACATGGGAGTACTCTACAGTCATGTGCTGAAGGTATGTAATCATGAGGTGCGAATGTCCGAAACTTTCAACTTCATTTTCAGGAGGTTTGCTGATTTGATGTTGATGATAATTGCAGGTACTGGACTTCATCCGCATTAAGGAAATTCCGCAGAAGCACATAGTGAAGAGAGGCCCACGTCATCTTACGCACTACCAGAAAGATCATGCCCACAGAAATCCTTTTAGCTATGGACATTTCAATATGTATATGCATGCCATGGAGCCCTGTCCGTTTGGGTGACACAAGTGTTGAGGCTTATGACCGTCTGATTTCTCTTTTCAAGAACTGCATGGTGGAAATGCAAGCTTTTGTGGAGATTAGGAATGGGCTTGGACTGGAAGACAGTATTCTGAAAACGGTGATGTTGTGAATCAAATTCAGACTGAAGGGGCACTTGTCATTGCTGGGAACAGAGGATAAAATAGCCTTGGCAACGATGATGTTAATTCAATAAATGAGTCTGGGAATAGATTGGCAGGACTTTTGCCACCGACAAAGAGGAAGGAGATGGGCAGGCCTGCGACCAGCAGTAGGAAGTGCCTTATGAAGGGTTGAGGAAGAGGACCATGTTTTGCACTACTTGCCGGCGACAGGGAAACAAAAAGACTACGTACCCAAACCGCGGAGATGTGCCATAGCAGGCTAGAAGACCGCCCGATGCAAGAACTGTGGAGTCGAAGGCCACCGGTAGAACAATTGCAACAAAGCAGCGGAGCTATGTCTGAAAGAGAGTTGACTGAAAAAGTAGGGATGTACCTGGGACAATACCTGCATGGTTAGGATAAATGGTTTATGTGTATGACAATTTGCAGATAATGCAGACTGTTTGTTGTAGCTTGTGTCCTCATGCTGAAGCTGCAAATTTCCTTTGCGTGTGTTGATACAAGTGTGTCTGAATGTATTTCTTTGATACTTCCTGAGTGGAACTAGTCTGAATAAATAGATTGTGGTCCGAATAAACTGTACTGAATCTGTTGTGAGTTGGTTTGGGTTTTGATCTGGGAATTATGATGTGGGTGGGCGTTGATTGTTCTACCTCCAGAATTATGTTTTTGGTACTGTCTTAGAGTTTGTTGGGTAAATTGAAAGATTGTACTTGTAGCTGAATGGTTCCAACAGTTCATTGCAAATTGCATTCATAGCTGTCTGCAGACAGGTGTCTACTCCAAAATTCTGGTGCGGCAGACAAGGCATATGCACGAGTTCAAATTTTGAATGACATGAGCTGAAAAAATTGATGCCTACGTATGGATAAGCATTGGGAGAAGGAGAACTGAACGTATTGGCCCCTCAATTTTATTTTATTTTGACATGTTGGCCCCTCAATTCATGTATTCAGCAGTCTATTTATTCTTTTGAGACAATTCAGCAGTTTAGATCCGGTCAGTGCAACGGTTGGGAACAATAAATGGGCTCCAACGTTGCCGTTCGTCCAGAATCTCGGATTTGGCGGCCCATAATTTGTGCTTCCGTCAGAGCGGTAACAACGTGACTGACGGCGTCGTCTATAACGTGGGTCATCAGCCCTGGTAAAGAAAAGAATACTTGGGCCTTCACGTGATGGGTCCATGATCTCGAGGAGAGCGAACGGGGATGATTCCGCGAGCATATGTGCTCGAGCACAGAACAGGACTTTCGAGCATACCTCAGCTATTATCGACACATCCAACACCTCCTTATACATGTCCTTGATAAAAAAAGTTGTTATTAAGCATTACAACCATCTTCTAAGCCTTAGAGATCACATGGATAATGAGTTAAGTTTCATAAACTATATGAGAAACCTGTTGAACAGAAGAGATTACGTGATATCATCTGCAGGTCCAAATTTGATTATGGAGATATAAGTTTAAATCTTCTACAGGGAATGCATCATCTAAATGCCTTTGAAATATGGCTTTTGCAGCACCACTACAAAACCATAAAATTGATCATCTAGTAGAGTTAACAGAATAGACCAGTTCATAAGGAATTCGGCACAACTTAGTGGTAAATCCTTCTTAGGGCATCATCCCATGCTCCTAATTTTCTAATTGAACTATAACATCACAGTTTCTAAGTTTTGAATGCCATAAGAATCTCACTTATGGTGATTATATTTTCCCATATCGGGAGCAAGGAAAGGCAGTGCTCTCAAAATCAGTACAAAACCACACAAGACTCGATCAAAAACGTGTGAAGCAATCCTTACCAAAGGCTGATGATGAGCCAACCGGCCCTGCCAAGGGAACAAGAATGTAGTAATTAAAAAAAATCCCTATTCTATAGCCGTGTCTTAAAAAGATGAGACTAGTTACGACTAGCCCTTGGCATCATATTTTTTTAATAGGAGAAGCAACCTGAGCACCCGGTGAGCCCAGGTCTTGAACCTGGGAGAGCAGCTTGCACACCCGCACAACCTGCCAACAGAGAAACACTATGTTCATAGCTGTGTCTTTTTCATGATTACTCGTGTCTTGTGACCTCCTAGTCCTAAATAACATGATTGCTTTTGTTTCAAGGGTACTACTCGCCGGACGTAACTACTAATGGGCCGCCAAGCTAGTGCTGCACGAAATGACCTCGAGCATATGCTATCTCATGAAAACGAGCTGCCAAAGGCCTTGACATTATCACTTTTGGAAGACATTACAGATGGTTTCTCTAAGAACCATCAAATTGGCAGCGGTGGGTTTGCAGTGGTTTACAAGGTAACACAACTCTTAACTGCCCTGGGTTGATCTAATAACTCAAGTTGATGCTGACCAGGCATCTTGCACTTGCAGGGAGTGCTTGAGAATGGGACTGTTGCTGTGAAGAAGTTGCTTGAAAGTCTTGATATTCCTGATAATAAATTCAATGAAGAAATTCGTTGTTTGATGAGAGTAAAGCACAACAACATAGTCCGGTTTTTGGGATATTGTGCTAACATACAAGGCCAAATGGAAAACTACAATGGAGATTTTGTCATGGCAGATATACGTCAAAGGTTGCTTTGCTTTGAGTATGTACCTAAAGGAAGTCTTCATGAGTATATCAAAGGTAGGATCATGTGGCCTGCAACTTTTGTTTCCATTTTTAATGAATACATTCAAGATTATTTAACTCAAGTAGCCTACGCACGTAGTGAAACTTATGGTGTGGTATTCTTTCATTTATAGATACATCTTCTAGACTTGACTGGATAAAGAGTTATCAGATAATAAAGGGTATTTGTGAAGGTTTACATTACCTTCACCAGAATTGCATTGTTCACTTAGATCTCAAGCCAGCAAATATTCTGTTGGATGACAATATGACACCAAAAATTGTTGACTTTGGTCTGTCAAGGTGCTTCGATGAAAAGCAAAGCCAAGCTATTACCGAAAATATGGCTGGAACATTGTAAGTTGGCAAAGCCTCTTGAATCGTTTTTGTCTTAAGTAGAAATTGCACCCTTTTCCTTTTCCCTATTCGCTGACATGTCTACAATTTTTTGAAGGGGGTATATGGCACCAGAATTTCATAGAGGAGACAAATGCATGATCACATACAAATCGGACATATATAGTCTTGGTGTCATAATTATAGAGATGCTTACAGGAAAGAAGTGGTATCCAGGATATCCTGATGTTGATAATGTAAGAACAATATCGACTGTTTCATGACAAAGGCTAGACACCCCCACCCCCCTCAAATAAGGATAAACACAATGCTTTTAAAATAAACATAATTTTCTTTTACTTTGCAATTTTTAGGGCCTTACATAATATCATTTTTCGAAGCATATGTAGTAAAGTATCTCTAAGAAGATAACCTTTATTTCTATCTGTTTCATCAGAACACGAAAGCGCATTTTATATGGTGTTAAGAACCCACATCTAAAATTTGTTTATGCCACCCTTTTTTGGGCTATACATGGCGAAGGGAGTACGGGAAGATAGACAAGACAAAGAGTAATGCTATATCTGATACAATATCCACAAGGATTAAGATATGTGATAATATTATATTAAAGAACATATTTATCTTCTAAATGTGGTTAATAAATGACAAAAAATGGAGGTAATAGGTTTTTTTACCTAGTTAGATAGAACGTTTTTTGTCGGTTTTACATCTCTATTTTCAAGACGCACAATATTGTAGTTGTACTTTATTTATTTTGGTTGCTACATGGGTGGGTGATTTTTTTTTGACTGTAATGGGTGGGTGATTTAGATGTGGTGGAGTACAACCCCTTATTTTTTTGGAGGATATTTCTTGTTGCTTGAGCTTGAATTGATGTGGTCTACGAGTCCATATATTTTGTTGGGTTGTATATTGCTTTGTGAGTACAATAACCTATTCTACAGCAATGTAGATAGCACTTCACAGTTTCTTCTTTGTGATTTTATAAGATGCTCTATTAAAAAAATGTAAGAGTTTACAGTTTAAAACAGTGAACTTGCGCCAAATCAACCATGTCCAACTAGTAACCTGCCAAGCCAAATTCATCATTGGAACATGTCACGATTTTACTGCTAAGATGTGTTGTATAGTTTCACCCTGGTCGCAAAAACAACATCTAGAACTACCTACCCATCTTCGCTTAACCAAATTATCTTTTGTCAAGATCACTCCCTTGTGGAAAAACCACATGAAGATTTTAATTCTAAGCGGAACTTTAATCTCCCAGATATGAAGGGGTCGCGGAATTGGCCCAACATCAATTAGATCCAAATACATAGACTTCACTGAGAAATTGCCATTCGTAACTAGTTTCTAGTGAATGGTGTCTGACTAGTCAGAGAGTTGAACTTCCATCAACTTACGGACCAAGTGCAGCCACGAGCTATGAGAACATCTGTAATTTTGTATGCTCTACCTTAAAATAAGGACGGGTAGGGATTTAATTTCTGCATCTCATGCAGTTTGTTTATTTGCAAGGCGAACTATTGAGGTGACTGTGAAGAATTAAAAATCCAATCCTTCATTATATGTATTAGTTAGATGTGAACTAAGACGTGGTCATGATTACAAAAAGATATGGTTAATACTTTCTAAAGGAAAAAAGACAACAATTATTGGGCATATTATTTTCCCTATGGGGTGGAAAGTGGTGGTTTAGTAGGACGTGATGGGTTGGTGGGTTGGCTTGGGTGTAAAGTAAGATTACTCCTAGTTGTAGAATAGCATCACATATACATACCTAGGCATAATGACACACTTTAAAGCCATAGCAACATAGTAAACCATATTTTACCATTATTTTAGTCTTCTAATTTATTTTTAGTCATAAAATTTTCATACATATCATTATTTCAATTTAAAAGGTTTCTTTTGAGGAATTGGTTGTTAAATGGTATTATTTTCTACATGAGATGTGTTACTGTATTTATGTCTCGGGTACATGATGGGTCACTATAGCTAGGTATGGATTGGGCATTCTTTCTCTTCATATCTAACATACTTCAGTTTTCTATCTAAATAGGTACTTGAAAGTTGGAGTAGTAAGTTAAGGAAATCACAGCGGGACACACTTTTGAAACAGATACGGTTATGCATTGACCTAGGGATAAAATGCACTGATGGTAACCAAGCGAACAGACCAAATACATCACATATAATCAGTAGGCTTGGTGAATCAGAAAATACATGCATTATAACTGTTTTGACTTCTTCAACAGTACCACAGGTAACTTTTTTCGCGAAATTGATAACTGAACTTAATACCAATTTCGAGTACTAAATTAGACATGTAAACTTATGCCTTGAAGGTAGAAAGAAATTTGGAAAATTTGGAGCATACTACCAATAACTTGCTTCTGAGGAGGAACAATGTTCCTTATATGAATGATATTGCCGAGAAGAATGTTACTACTGGGCAAGAGGTAGCTAAGGAACTTCAAGAGGCCCAAGAATGTCTCTATGATAATCCTCATATTGTTGAAGTCAAATCTGTTCCATCTATGTCCGTTGAGGACCGTAACCTTCAAGAGGCCCTCCGGCTCATTAAGGATGATCCAGTGGGAGTAATTGGAATATGGGGTCCAGGTGGAGTGGGGAAAACACGCCTTTTGAACAAAATCAAGAACTCACTTGATGATGACAAGACCTTTAACTATGTTGTGCAAGTGACAGCTTCAAGGGGGTGTTCGGTGGAAAGATCCAAACTGACATTGCATGCCATCTCAATCTGAACAGAGATGGTAATGTGGAATCTCAATCTCGCGTCATTTTTCACTTTCTAAAGAAGAGAAGCTTTCTTGTATTGTTGGATGATATTTGGGGCCAAATTGATCTACAAGCAGTTGGCATACCATATCCTCTTGGATATGCAAATCAAATTTGGAGAAAGGTGGTGCTCACAACAAGATCAAGAAGGGTTTGTGGTCAAATGGAGGTGAGGAAAGATTTGAATGTATCTTGTCTACACGATGATGACTCATGGCAGCTATTCCAGGATAAGGTCGGCCACAAAACTCTTTTTTATAGTCCTCGCATTGAAGCTCTTGCAAGAGAACTTGTGAAAGAAATGAAAGGCTTGCCATTAGCTTTGATAACTGTTGGAAAGACAATGTATGGTAAAACTGATATGGCTGAGTGGGAATATGCTATCCAACATATGAGACGGTCATGTTGTGATAACAATGACCCCCTGGATATGGAAAGAATTGTTTTTAGCCAGATCAAGTTTAGTTTTGATAGTTTGCGAAACAATACTTTGAGGAAATGTTTCTTGAGTTGTGCATTGTGGCCAGAGGATCAACATATTGACAAAGTCGAGCTCGCTCGATGCTGGATTGGCTTGGGTCTAGTGCATGAGTCAGATATACAAAGTTCCTACACAAAATCATATAGTCTGATGGGTGACCTTACAGCTGCATGTTTGTTAGATGGTTGTGGAGAAATGTATGATTCTTTTAAAATGCATGATGTGGTCCGTGACATGGCTTTATGGATCTCTTGTGGCTGCAATGAGAAAAATGGCAAGTGGTTTGTCCGTGCGGGTATTGGCCAGCATGAAACATTTAGCATCCCTTGGAGCCAAGTTGAATCTGTCTCCTTGATGTGGAACTATGCATTAAAACTTCCTCCAGTTGGCTCTAATCCATGCCACACAAGGATGTTATGCCTTGGAAATAACAAGTTGCATGAAAGCATATTAGTTGAAGAAATCAATAAATTTACTTCACTGACATATCTGGATTTGCGCTTCAACAATCTCAAAGGAATACCTGAAGAGTTATGTTCCCTAACAAACTTGGAACACCTTGACTTGTCGCATAATATTGATATAAATGAAGTGCCTTACTGCTTTGGAAACCTAATTAAGCTCAAGTTCTTGTACCTAGAATGGACTAGCATACAAAGGATACCGGAGGGGGTCATATCTAGGCTTCAATCATTACAAGTAATAGACTTCAACACTTTTTATCCACGTCGAGTTTCGAAGGACCTTCTGTCTAGAATGCTTCTAGAGTTGGGAACCCTACCCCACTTGAAAGCAGTTGGTATCATTGCCATGTGTTTTTCTCAGTATAAATTATTACGAGAGAGTGAAAACCTCCCCATCAGGTCTTTAACTCTGCGGAGACTCGAGACACGTGCACTCTACTTCTCTGATATTCTATCACATGACTTTGCACCAAGGACCTTGTATGAACTGCTAATTGACATGTGTGTCATGGAGGAAATAATGCTTGGACACGAGTTGGCACGACCAAACTGCTGTTTTGGTACTCTCAATCAGCTCAGTTTTTTAGATTTGTCAAACTTGAGAGGGATAACTTGGATGGAAACATCTCCGGCATCTTTATTTCCAAGGCTCACTTGTTTGGAGGTGTATTCCTGCGGAAAGCTACATCAACTCTCCTGGGCGATGCATCTGCCATGCCTCGAACAAGTGGTAATATATGATTGTTCTTCGATGCGGCAAGCGTTTATGAGGCGCCATGGTGATAACCAGTGCAGCGTACAAGACAGTTCGAAGACATTTCCATGCCTCAAGTATCTAAAATTTCTGAGGTGTGAATCACTGGTCGGTATTGGGGATCCTGACGTGACATTTCCATCCCTAGAGCGACTGGTGCTTCATCATTGTCCGGAATTGAATAGGCTTCCTTTCAAGACGGACAACTTACCACGAAAACTGCAGGAACTACAGATTGATGTTGGATCCTGGGAGAGATTGGAATTGGAAGAAGGTGTCAAACCTTTCCTGCAACCCAGGCTTAAATTAGAAAAATAGTAAATACCATGAGCTTGTTTCATGCATGTTTATAGTATCCATGCTTCAATTTACACCTTAGCATGTAGCTTTGATTGATAGGAGTATGTATATGTAATAATTCTTAGCCGACTTGTGTAAAACAAGCTATGAACTAAATGTGTGCAATTTGTTTTCTTACTTTACGATTTTTGGAATTTGCAAGTGCTACCTTTTGAGGGGAACACATCCTTCTGGATTCAGAACTGGCTTGGGTAAATAATTCAGAACTGATAGGAAAACATGGTCTCCTGTTTGCAGCTGATGTGTCCCTTTTTGAGCCGAACTTAGTTGCAGCAAGCAACGAACTAAACGTGTGCAATCTGTTTTCTTACTTCACTAATTATTTTCATGGTTTTTGAAATTTGCAAGTGCTACACTACATTTTGGGTAAATATCTGTGCTATGTTAAGTGTTATGTTTTGACAGGAGCACATGCTTCTCTAGTCTCTGAATCTGTCCAAGCCTGTGGCTGGCGTTGTTCAATCGACTTGTGCAAGCCTCGGAGGTACCATCCTGGTTGCAAATGTGTGGACCGCTCTGGCTGCTGAAGCCTGAAGCCATGTCTTTGCTGGGCACGGTACCACTCAGTTTCAGAATTTGAGCTAGTGTTGGCCTAGTGGTATTTTCACCATGCTTTGAGACCGGGCATAACTGTACTTACTTTGAGAAGGATGCCTTTCCCCGGTGACTATTTTGGCAGAATTTTTTAGAAGACCGCCATGGTTTAATTGTGAGCACGATGTGACCTTCTACTGCCTGAATTTTCAGGCCCAACAGTACAAAAAAATAGGATTGTTCGCTTCACTTTCAGTAGTCAAATCTCTGTACTTTTTTGGCTCCTCTGTTCTAGTGGAACTGCTGTGCATGTTCCACGAGGTACAGTCGTACAGACATCCGGTCCCTTACTCTGGCGTAGCGCGACGGAGGCGAGGAAGCTGAGCACGGCGACGGCGCTGGCGGCGGAGCAGCACAGGTCCACCAGCACCTCCCGCCTCGCCTTGGACTCCGCCGTTTTACTCCACTATTTTTAGGGGATTCGTTAGAGTTGTCCTTATTCTAATTACCTATGCCACCTATGCCGTCAAGTGCGTGTTGAGTTTTGTGGAGGAGCTATGCTTGTGATTGCTCTGTTTCACAACATTTTTTCCTGTTAACTGGGTTTTGTTATTTTGCAATGTTTATCCATTCAAGGAATAAGACTGTAGTTATTGAATTTTTTTTGTACTCATAAAATCAAAAGATTGTTCTTATAGCTGGATCTTGTGGGCCTCCCAAATAATGTTCTTGCTCTTGTTTCAGGGTGCTCTCGCCCCACGTAACTGCTAATGAGTCGCCAAGCCAGTGCTTCACGGAATGACCTTGAGCACATGCTATCTGACGAAAACGAACAGCCAAAAGCCTTGCCATTATCACTTTGGAAGATATCACAGATGGTTTCTCTGAGAACCGTCAAATTGGCAGTGGAAGATATCACAGATGGTTTCCGTCAAATTGGCAGCGGTGGATTTGCGGTGGTTTATAAGGTAGGGCAACTCTCAACTGCCCTCAGTTGATCCAAAAACTGAAGTTCATGCTGAAAGGCATCTTGTGACTTGTAGGGAGAGCTTGAGAATGGGATCGTTGCTGTGAAGAAGCTGTTTGAAAGGCTTGATATTCCCGATAATAAATTCAAGGAAGAGATTCGCTGTTTGATGAAGGTGGAGCACAAAATTATAGTATGTTTTTTGGGATATTGTGCAAACATACAAGGCAAAATGGTAGTCTACGATGGAGATTTTGTCATGGCAGATGTACGTCAAAGGTTGTTCTGCTTTGAGTATGTACATAAAGGAAGTCTTGATGGGAACATCAAAGGTAAGATCATGTGGCCTGCAACTTTTGTTTCCATTTTGTCTATCTAACATTACAAATCTGAGTAGGAGGCAACTGAACCGGGCTTGGGACACGGTATGCAGGCCCAAATGGGCAGGTGGATTGGGGATCCCAAGCCTACAGTGGCTCAATAAGGCTTTGCCAGCGAGGTGGGCTTGGTTGCAAAGGGCGGACAGAAGCAGACCATGGTCCGAGTTCTACATCCCTGTGCCGGTGGAGGCTTTGGAATTGGTTCGGACAGCGGCTTACAATACGGTGGGCAATGGCAGATCTACCCTCTTCTGGGAAGATAGATGGATCAATGGCTTGAGGATTCAGGAGATTGCACCGACGGTGCATGAATTTATACCGGATCGGATCAAGAGGTCAAAGTTGGTTTCTGATGCGCTGCTAAATGACAGGTGGGTAGGCGACATCGGCCCCAACTTATCACTCCAAGCGCTTCAGGAGTTTTTGCGGCTGTGGCCGCTGGTCACTGGCCGCCAACTAACAGATGACGTTGAGGACGTGGTGACATGGTCATGGGAAAAGAACGACTAGTACTGGGCTAGATCAGCTTATGCGACCAGATTTATGTTGTGGTCTCCCCGACAGTGGCGTTCACCTGGAAGTCGAGGGCACCCTTGCAGTGCCGTTTCTTTGCATGGCTGGCCCTCAAGAACCAATGCTGGATGTCCGATCATTTGGCCCGCCGCGGACTACCACACCAAGACACATGCCCCCCTATGCGACCAACACGAGGAAACTATCCAACATCTGCTTGTGGGTTGTGTCTTTGCAAAGCATGTCTGGTATTGGATGGGGAGAATCACGGGCAGGCTAGAATTCGAACCCCAAGATGGTGAAGGCCTCGGCGAATGGTGTTCTAGACAGGATCAAAGCCCAGTGCATTGCAAATCGACTTGGGCAAAATGCCTCCTTGGGATATGGATGTTGTGGAAGCACCAGAACGACATCGTGTTAAATGGTGCCGCACCGTCTCTACCCGCGATTTTGCTTAGAATTAGAGAGGAGGGAATTCTATGGGCGAAGGTTGGGCTCATGAAAGGCAACACCTTGGGTTTTAAGGCGGATGACGGTAGGCCAGATCGTGAGGAGGAGTTGTAGCTAGTTCGTCCGGTGGTGTCGGATGATCCCGACATGTAATTATTGTTGTAACCGTGGACTTGGGAGTCTTCCCTTTTCTTCTTTAATGAATGATACGCACACTCGTGCATATTTGAGAAAAAAAAGTATTTCAATCTTCATATATGTCAAATATGAAGATGGATAGGTGGAAACGGCGGCGGTGACCTCTGAGAATGCGTCGGACCGGTGTGTGCCCCATACTCAGTATGAGCCTTGGTTGGGGCCTTCGGCTTTAGATATTAGGATTTGGTGCGAGGTCTATTTGATATTCGGCTCGGGCCGGGGGGTCATCCTCCTTTTCCAAAAAAATATATGTCAAATATTAACACCTTACTTTCTCAATTCTCTCTCCTTTATAGATGCATCTTATGGACATGACTGGATAAAGACCTATGTGATAGTAAATGGTATCTGTGAAGGTTTACATTACCTTCATCAAAATCGTATTGTTCACTTAGATCTCAAGCCCACAAATATTCTGCTGGATGGCAACATGATGTCAAAAATTACCGACTTTGGCCTATCAAGGTGCTTTGATGAAAAGCAAAGCCGAGTTATTACCACAAATACGGCTGGCACATTGTAAGTTGGCAAAACCTCTTGAGTTCTCCTTTTTGTTTTATTTAGAAATTGTTTCTTTTTCTTTTTCTCATATGTTTATATGACTAAAATTTTATGCAGGGGATATATAGCACCAGAGTTTCATAGTGGAGACATATACACGATCACATACAAGTCGGACATATATAGTCTTGGTGTCATAATTATAGAGATGTTTTTATTTTTGCGGTTGATAATTATAGAGATGTTGATAGGAAAGAAGTGGTATCCAGCATATCCTAATGTTGATAATGTATGAACAATACTTGCGACCATTCCATGATAAATGCTAGACCTCCCTCAGAAAAAGGATAAACACTAGGTTTCAATATAGCCACATTTTGCTTTAACTTGGCATTTTTTAAGGCGTTACGTTGTATCGTTCTTCAAAGCATATGTAGTAAAGTATCTCTAGGAGAATAACCTTTATTTCTTCTTGTTTCAGCTGAACATGAAAGGGCCATTTACATGGAGCTAGATCTTACTAGGCTCCACGAAGCCATATCTAAATTTCATTAATGGCACCTTTTTTGGTCAACACGGTGTAGAGAGTAAGAAGAGATAGAGAGAACAGAGAGTAACACTACATATCTACAATTGACATGGTATCAACAAACAATAAGATAAATGATAAAAATATATTAGAGTACGTGTTAATCTTCCAAATGCGGATTAATGAATGACATAAAAATTGTAGGTAATCCGACGATTTGTATACCTAGTTAGATAGAACAGTTATACATATGGATTTTACATATATATTGTCGTTACGTCCAATATTGCTTGCCATATATAGGAGAGCGCGATGTGGTTTGGTGGTGTAGTAATGGCGGAGGTAGGGGGGGAGGTGGGTAGGTTATTCGCTTCGCGAGTCGCCTCGCCTCCTCTCTCTCTGCGTGTCATCCGTTCATCTCCTAGCTGTTTTCAAATCAGCTCTTTTTTTACAGTAACTTAGGAGATCAGTTGTCGCTCGTGCACCCAAAGCTCTTGCAGTTCGGCCGACCGTCCATTCCGCAGCTGCGTGCACCCAAGCTCTCGCAGTTAATTCTAAAAAAAAAAAAACTCTCGCTGTTTAGCGACTGACGCTACTGGCCATGAACAGGATATTCCAGGCTCAGGGACGACCGGTCAAGACCCAGCTCAGCATCCTCAGCCTCCCACCGCTCCGCTTCCACGATTGATCTCTTGTGGCCTCCATTATTGACTAATCTCTACCGGCCGTGCATCCACTCCAGCCACAAAACAGACGCCTTCACTGGATTGCTGCTCATATCCTTCCTACTGTCACCTGTGGAAGCTCTCCCCTGCCGCTTTGCTCTTCTTCTTCTGTAGCTGATTGCTTGCTTTGGGTTCTTATCGCGCCTGCCACGCGATCGGCG